GTGTGAGAGAGAGAGAGAGAAAGAAAGAAGGAGAGGGAGAGAGAGAGACAGAGAGAATGGAGGCGGGTGAAAGGACCACTGTTGGAACTCTGATTTTTAAATTATTAGAACGCACACTGAACTCTTTCTCAGAAGAAATGCGCTATGTCAGTGTAGTGTACATGTACTTTATTATGGTCTATACTACTACTACTACCACTACTACTACTACTACTACTACTACTACTACTACTACTGCTGCTGCTGCTGCTGCTGCTGCTGCTGCTACTACTACTACTACTACTACTACTACTACTCTACTACTTCTACTCTACTATACTACTACTGCTACTACTACATTGTACTACTACTACTAGCTGCTGCTGCTGCTACTACTACTTATAACTGCTGGTGCTAATACTACTACTACTTCTGCTTCTGCTGCTACGCACGTACAATTAGGCCCTACTACTACAAATGACAATAGATAGGCCTAATGCATGTACATGTAGTTTGGGCGACGTATTTTAACTCAGCGTGTCGAAATTAACAAAGTCTACGAGTACACTCCTCGATTTATTGCTTATTTACAAACTTATATTTTTCCTTACTTATTGTATTTGATAAGTATGGATACACCGTGTTCCGGTTAAATGACAGGTTTACTCACAGAATTCTACACAAAGTGTAGAATTCTGTGGGTTCACTCGATAATTCAACTCGAACAATTCTAACTGCATGTGTGTAGCCGCCTTATGACAAGGGAATTTTTCAGGCGTTACGTTGTTTTTTATTTTTAAAGAGTTACTTCCCCTATATTTAGATTTGTCTGTAGTCCGGAAGTTGTTTTGGAGGAAAACAAATTACACTGGATTTCTTGTGGTAATGCCACTAGAAACTCTTATTTTTTATGGAGATTACTTTATTTCGTTAGAGTACTGAGATCAGTTGAGGTGATTGCTTCAAGGATTTTCCTTGGAGACATTTGTTTTGCGTTTATTATTGTGGCATGTAATGTATATTGCTCGTTGTTATGGAACATAGCTGTTATCGAAATTAGGTGGTTTCAGAAAGAGGAACTGCTGATTAGCCTAGAGACGAAAAGAACTTGATTATCTAGATCTACATCTAGATCTAGATCTAGATCTAAATCTTTTGGATTTTTCGGAGGGGAGGGGGGCATTGCAGCAAAGACTTCTACAACGTCGATCTAGAGCCCGCACATAATCTTTTCCGAAGCTTCAAGGCACTGTTCGACAGTCCTTGTTAAAAGAAAGATTGTCAATTGTCAACATCAACAATAGATCAGATCTTTAAATATATCAGTTCAGTATAAATTTGAGAAATTCCCGTTCTGATCACCAAGCTGTCCTTCGCAAAATACTTAGTGTGTAGATATTGAATATCTTTCAATTCCGTTTCAAAATGCCCCTTGGCAAACATTTCCCTGGGCCTTTAATATGATATCGTAGCAATTTTTGCAAGCTGTTTCAAGATTCAAATTTGTGTAGTAGTAGACTAGATTCTATGTGATAGATCTTGCTTGTGCTTTTGTCAAAAGTTTTGACCAGGCTTTCAAACTTCATCTGTTACCACCTTTTAGGTTAGGATAGAAAAGTTAAGAATTAGTTGACGGTGATTTTCCTCTGCGTCAATCATTTTCAGTGTGTTACTTTCATGTATTGGCAGACCCATGTCAAAGATGGATTCTTCCAATGCTGGGACTCAGAGTGTCCCCAGTGGGGCCGTCTCCACAACCGGAAGCCAGACCAAGATGGGCAAATATAGACAGTAAGTAGAGATGGGAAGAGAGGTCTCAGAGAGATTTTGTGGGAAGAAGAAGTGTGTGTTTGTTAGTGTGTGTTTGTGCTTGTGTGCCTTTTTTTATGCTTGCCAAACAGGTGGAGTGAGTGTAAGTTTATGCGTGTGTGTAATGCTATTGTGTTCTTATTCTGCTGAGACAGCACTTGTTTGTTTGGATGGGAAACATCCAGAGGAGGCATGGTGGAAGAAAAAAGAACTGAAGATCGTCCCCCAACTCAGATTCAAAGATGTCTGTGAAAGAGGCTTGAAGGCCCTGGAGATTAATGTAGACATTTGGGAACACTTAGAACAGGATCGGTCATTCTGGAGTCAGACGCTTAGCCGTAGCTTACACAGAGGAGAACAGCAACTGTAAATAGCCTCTGACGAGTCACGAATGCAAGGAGAGGTGTAATAATAACCGTTAGACGTCCCCTGTAACCACAAAGTTCTAATGCAGCCACTGTCAATCTGGTATATATAGGCATTCACAGCAGACACTGCTCTGGAAGCAAAAACGAAAAAAGTTCTATCAGACGCAGAGCCATGGCAACCTGTGACTGATGGATTCTGACGACTCATTGATTTCTTTTTACGTACATGGGTGAACAGGAGGGGAGGGCCTTTGCTTGTCACAGTTCTAAGCTGTTTGATGATGTTCTTGCCCTCTAGATATAATGATGGTAGTTTTTCTCAAGCTGTTTTGACATAGTCTTGTTTAAACAGGGATATTTGCTTTAAGATCTGTTAAAAATCAATGCAGTTTTAATAAGAAAAAGTGCGATATCACAACCTCAAGGGCTTTGTGGTAAGTATTTATTAACTTTGTATTAATTACCACAAAAGCTATGTGAGTAAGTCACCTTGAGTCTTGAAAACAGAATGTACTGTTGCTTGACCAATGGTTTGTAATGTTTCATGACACCTTCTATTGGATGTTAGGTGTGTGGCCAATAGGAAAGTATATATGATGCTGAAAAATTGGATAAAGTTGGCTACATTCAAAGGAAGAGAATAGATTTCCATATAGTTTAAATAGGGCGGAGTAGGATTTTTCAGCATCATTAACTATTTGCTTAAAAAAGATAAACACCAAATTAAGAAGAAATGATTGATCCTTGTAATTAACGTACAGTTTTATTATAGGACTGGGATTTTGTACATTTTTGTTAGACCTGACTGTAATTAAACAGAGTGATACTGTGTGTCCACTGAACTGGCTGACCATGCACTAACAGTGAAGTGGCAGTGACCTCACAGTGTTCCCTGAGACAGGCATGGAGGCTGCGTAGACTTTAGAACTGACAATTGTTGAGACTGTTTTATACTGGCTTACCTGTAAGTTATTGAACTTCCCCCAATGTGCCCCTTGTGGGACTATACATATGAGACTGGATCATCACCTGATCCACTGCACAGCCCTAAATGACATCAGAGCTACCCTTCTCCCTGCAAGACCTAACATTGACAACACACTCTACGGAACATTACAGTGACTACAACAAACCTGCACTTGTCACTACATGGCATTGGACAGAGGGCGAGAGCCCAGCTGTTGCTGGATCAATAACAACAGCTACAACAACCTGTAAGTTATAGAAAAATGTTTGCTCACCTTTTTTCGTATTTTTGTTTGTTTGTAGGAAAGCGAAGAAAAGCGTGGCGTCGTTCTTTGGCCTGGTTGAAGATGACGTGAAGAACAACCAGCGGTGGGAACATCGCAGAGTGCGGATTGCCAGCCAGATGGGGAAAGGGGTGAGGGACGAGTACGTCACAGCGCCGCCCATGGACATGATGGACGCACCGAACATCATCGATCCGCTCCGCACGTCTCGACAAGCCTCCCGCATGTCAACCATGACGGCAACAAGCGCCGCGGGGCAAGCCCGGAGGAAGAAGTCTGTGTTACAGATGACCATGAATGGCATCTCTCAGTTGTCGGTAATTACTGTACTGTTCATCTGTCCCTGCTTATTGTGTTATATATGTGAGGTGTGCTGACAAAATGAGTCACTTCTCAGATTTTAGTCTTATGGAAATTGGTATGTCAAATGTATGGGTGGAGTGTGTACAATTTGTAAGTATGAAATAATTAAAGACATGTTAAACTTGAAGAAAGTGGCATCAATTGACAATATATAAATCTGTTGACAGTGTTGATTTTCGACTAATATCTCCATTCTTGGATTGCGAGAAGTAACTCTTTTTCCCAGCACGCCTCACATATAGTTTTATGAAAAGGTGGGGGGGAGGGGGGGTGTGTAAAGATACAACAGACAGGCTTTACTTTTAATATATTGTTTTATCTGTCTGTCTTGTGGTTTCCCTTGATGCTTAGTGACTTTTGTCACGTCAGTTTGCTTCAAACAATCAAACCTTGGAAAAAAACAGTGTAAGTAATGAAGTTAAGAAGGATAAATGTTACATTTCGTTGTCATTTGTCCTTTGTTTTTTAGGCGCTGACAACTTCAGAGGAACGTAAGTTTAGTGAGAGGAGACCTAAATCGACATCTGTTTCTTGAGTGGAGTAAAAACAGTTCTAACAGTAGTGCCATTACAGACAAAAGTTACATGTTTTGTCTTGTTTGATTGATTTTTGAATGAAACGTTTTAATGAGATAACCACATTTTTTAAAATGGATTCATTCAGGATAATGATTGAGGAGTGGACCCCACCAAAAAATTCTATATTCAGAGTATTGTATTTTCTTCCATGGACCCCATGTCTCGCAACAGTTTGTGTACTTTCCACAGAAATGTTGTAACATAGGTGCACAAAGAAAAGTTGGCGGGTGTTCTGGTGTGGTCTGCTTCGTCTTTCCTATCAAACATCTATCGTCCTTATCCCCCCTTCTCTAATTTTTATGTTTGTTACTCTCTTGTAACACCTCTAATCTTCTGGCGCTCATATGACCTTATGCAGTTGCGAGCGCCGTAAAACCTTACTAAAACAAAACAAAAAGAAAAGTTATAGGTCTGGGTTATGCTTTTCTTTTTCTTTTTTATCTGTTTTGTTGTTGTTGTCCTTTTCATTGTCTCAGTAGTGCCATTGAGCTACTTATTTTAGCGATAACAAAATCAAAGATGTGTTTGTATTGCATTTTCAGTCTGCTCGGAAAGATTTACGGAAGAAGTCGTTCAAAGGCCAGAGCTTTCCCCCAGGGAGTATTCACAGCACAGAGGAGAGACCTCACGTGAGTTTCTGCTTATCTCTGCTTGTGTCTTTGTGTTCTTGTTATGTGTCACTGGGAAGGATGGGGGGATGCTTGTGTCTTTGTGTCGCCGTGTGTGTTGCCGGGAATGGTAAGGTGTGGGGTGATGCTTGTATCTTTGTGTCTCTGTATGTTTCATCGGGAAAGGTGGGGTGTGGGGTGATGCTTTTGTGTATGTGTCATCGGGAAAGGTGGGGTGTGGGGTGATGTTTTTCTGTATGTGTCATCGGGAAAGGTGGGGTGTGGGGTGATGTTTTTGTGTATGTGTCATCGGGAAAGGTGGGGTGTGGGGTGATGTTTTTCTGTATGTGTCATCGGGAAAGGTGGGGTGTGGGGTGATGTTTTTGTGTCTTTGTGTTGCTGGGGAAAGGTTGGGTGTGGGGTGATGTTTTTGTGTCTTTGTGTTGCTGGGGAAAGGTTGGGTGTGGGGGTGATGTTTGTGTCTTTGTGTCGCTGGGGAAAGGTTGGGTGTGGGGTGATGTTTTTGTGTCTTTGTGTTGCTGGGGAAAGGTTGGGTGTGGGGTGATGTTTTTGTGTCTTTGTGTTGCTGGGGAAAGGTTGGGTGTGGGGTGATGTTTTTGTGTATGTGTTGTTGTATGTGTCTCCGGGCAATGTGAGGTGTGTGGGGTGATGCTTGTGTCTTTGTGTCCCTGTATGTGACGCCGGGCGGTGTGGGGTGATGTTTTTGTCTATGTGTTGCCGGGAAAGGTTGAGTGTGGGTGATGCTTGTGTCTTTGTGTCACTGTGTGTGTCATCGGGAAAGGTGGGGTGTGGGGTGATGCTTTTGTGTATGTGTCGCTTTGAAAGGTGGGGTGTGGGGTGATGACAATATCCTAACTGATGCTTGTAAAATCTCTTAACTCTCTGTACTCTTCAAGGTCCCAGGAAAAGAATGAGAAGTGGTAGATTTAAAAACCCATGAATGTGGATGGTGTAACAATATGACTTTGGTCTCCACAACAATTCACATCATGTGTAGGTTGTAGTTACCCCCCTCTCCTTACTGGAAGGTCAACTTTTTTTTAATAGGCTGTGTGTTCAGCTCACTTGCCAGGTGTTTATCGATTTTTTTCTTGTAAAAAGTTTACTTTTGCTTTACTTTTCCGATCCAGCGGCCATCAATCTTGTAAATACAAACATCAAAGATAGATTAAAGGCTGTACTGTTTTGTTTTGCTCAGTTTTCTACTTTGTGTGACTATGTTTGCTGGCAGGGATATTATTGACCCAGCAGTTTGCTCGCTTTTCCATTTGGCTCGGATGTTTCATTAAAAAGTTTATCATCAATTTCTTTTTCAGCCTGGAGATGATTTCAGCTTGGTGGACGATGTGTTTTACGATGAGCATCCAGCCTCTTCAGAGGGTGGAGGGTGAGTGTCAGTTTACTACTTACATATTTGGTACTTACTTGGTGGGAGAACACGCATCATTGTAGGCGGTACCCTGCCGTAGCTGCTCCTCCCTCCTCTCCAGGATCCATGAAAGGGTCTTCCTGCTGATCGTGCCAGTTTATATCAGCTGGTTGGATATTCTTCTGGCTTTTCCACGCAGGTTGCTTTCTCTCCCCGACCCAGGGTCCACCAAGAATTGAGTCTCAGTTTGTGGTAGTTCAGTGGAATCTGCTTAAAGTGAAATCTGCGGAACCGCGGGATTTTGTTCAGTGTAGCTGAGTTTTGCGAATAGAGAGGTTGCTCAAATAGAAGATTTAAAAAAAGGGGGATTTTCTTTTCTTTTGGTTCACCGCTGATCCTGAAATGTCTCTCTCGCCACCTGATTGAAGAGGAAGACTAGGAGGCAGAGGCCAGTACTTCTGTGGAGAGGATGACGGTTTTAGGAATACAGAAAGGAAGCAGAAAATCTGGCACGCTTGCAGGAAAGAACAGAAGAACGTTCAACCAGGTGTGCACTGGCACAATTAGTGGAAAGACCCTCAGCGGCATTTTGGAGAGAGCAACGGAGCATCAATGGACATGTCCGGAGTGCAGGGATGTTGCTTCCTGGAACAATGAACAATGGTTAACCGCTGTTTTCAGATTAACCATGTTGGCTTTATGCAAACTCCACTGTATGTACTGTATTGTGTAAATATAGTGTAAAGCGCATAGAGCCTGCTGTTGAGCGGGGATATGCGCTATACAAATGCTATCTATTATCTATTATTATTTGTAGTCCGTTTTTTTGTATCCAACATTTTTGAGGTTCACCTAGACACCATGACTACGTAGACCCCAATCGGGGAGTACGTAGACACTTCCTTATTATTATTATTATTAATTTTTTAAAACTGTTTGTTTGTTTATTTGTCCTGTAGACCCAACATGGATCTGGTTGGTGAAATGTGGGCGGTTGGCGGGTGCTCTGGTGTGGTTTGCTTCTTCTTTCCAATCAAACATCTATCATATGTATCTCCCCTCCTTCTCTTTTGTGTTTGTAACTCTCTTGTAACTCCCCTAATCTTCGCCACTTATATGACCTTATTGTGTTGCAAGTGCCGTAAAACTCTTACTAAAACAAAATGACCGTTTGTTTGTTTGTTTGTTTGTCATGTAGACGCAGCATGGACCTGGCCGGTGGACCCTCGGCCCCCGGCTGGCGGCGACGCCCCCCTCAGGCCCTGCCCTCTACCCCCGGCGTGGATTTGCCAGATGGGCCTGACTTTGGCTTGAAGAGAATAAAGCAAAAAGTAAGTCTTGTCAGTATGTTAGTGTTTTAGCGTCTATAAATGGCTGCTTGCACTGTATGCTTCCCAGGAAGTTGAGGTTGTTTCAGAATGCTCTCAGGTCTGCTAGGGTAGGTAGTAGTAAAAAAATAGATTGTGAAGCGCATAGAGCTTGCTGTTGAGCGGGGATTTGCGCTGTACAAATGCTATCTATTATTAGTGGATCTCATTTTACAGCTTTTTCAAGGCTTTTTTTTTTTCCCCTCAGTACAATTTGTTGATCTGTTTTTGGAAATCCATTTTGTGGAATTGTACTGAGTTGTTCCGGGGGGGTGGTTGGCGGGTGCTCTGGTGTGGTTTGCTCATTCTTTCCTATCAAACATCCAACGTCCTGATCTCTCCTCTTTTTAAAAAATGTTTGTTACTCTTTTGTAATACCTCTAATCTTCGGCACTTATATAACCTTATTGTGTCGCAAGTGCCCTAAAACTCTTACTTAAACCAACTGAAATGATTGGTCGTTCCCAGGTTGTAGACTCGGTGATGAACCGCGACAAGCGCACGGTGGGCATGGGAATCGTGGGTCGCCTGATGCGCCGCAGACTCAAGAGCAACATCATGACCAAAGACGTGCGCAAACAGCTAGACAATCTGGATGACCACCGGTCAGTGGCCGTAACGCATCTGGGCTGGGATGTTTCTCCGTAACGCCTCTGTGCTGGGGTGTTTCTCCGTAACGCATCTGTGCTGGGATGTTTCTCCGTAACGCATCTGTGCTGTGGTGTTTCTCCGTAACGCATCTGTGCTGTGGTGTTTCTCCGTAACGCCTCTGTGCTGGGATGTTTCTCCGTAACGCATCTGTGCTGGGATGTTTCTCCGTAACGCATCTGTGCTGTGGTGTTTCTCCGTAACGCATCTGTGCTGTGGTGTTTCTCCGTAACGCCTCTGTGCTGGGATGTTTCTCCGTAACGCATCTGTGCTGGGATGTTTCTCCGTAACGCATCTGGGCTGGGATGTTTCTCTGTAACGCATCTGGGCTGGGATGTTTCTCCGTAACGCATCTGGGCTGGGATGTTTCTCCGTAACGCATCTGTGCTGGGATGTTTCTCCGTAACGCATCTGTGCTGGGATGTTTCTCTCTTACTTATCTCTCGTTTTATGTTTCTTTGTAATATGGTCGCTTTTAAGGACAAGCGAGCTAACCCTGATTTCAGGGGTTTCCAGAAATCTTGACCTACACCAAAAGTGGGCATTGCCCTACCTATAGAACGCGCTCATATGACATTATGCAGTTGCGAGCGCCATAAAACCCCGTACTAAACTAAACTACCTACAGAAGTTTGGTTTCGTTGGTGTGTATATTTGTTTGGTTATAGAGAAAACTCTCCTTTCTTTTAAAGAAACTGAACAAGGGGCAAAAAGTTACCTTTGATTTTGTCAAAACTGCATTTTTTAGGATAGCCTCCTTGTGCTTAAAAACGACCATACATCTGTGGTGTGATGTTTCTCCGTAACGTGTCTGTGCTGTGATGTTTCTCCGTAACGTGTCTGTGGTGTGATGTTTCTCCATAACGTATCTGTGGTGTAATGTTTCTCCGTAACGTATCTGTGGTGTAATGTTTCTCCGTAACGTATCTGTGGTGTAATGTTTCTGCATGACGTATCTGTGGTGTCATGTTTCTCCGTAACGTGTCTGTGGTGTAATGTGTCTCAGTAACGTGTCTGTGGTGTCATGTGTCTCCGTGACGTGTCTGTGGTGTCATGTGTCTCTGTAACGTATCTGTGGTCTTATGCTTTCTGTGGTCTCATGTTTCTTTGTAACTTATCTGTGGTGTTATGTTTCTGTCTTATGTTTCTCTGTAACTTGTCCATGGCCTTATGCCCCATAACTTATTCGTTGGCAGGTTGTCAGCATGTTGATGTGTAGCAGTGTGTCAGCGTGTTGTGATGTATAGCAGTGTGTCAGCGTGTTGTGATGTATAGCAGTGTGTCAGAGTGTTGATGTGTAGCAGTGTGTCAGAGTGTTGATGTGTAGCAGTGTGTTAGCGTGTTGATGTGTAATTGTGTATTGTGTCAGCGTGTTGATGTGTAGCAGTGTGTTAGCGTGTTGATGTGTAATTGTGTATTGTGTCAGCGTGTTGATGTGTAGCAGTGTGTCAGCGTGTTGATGTGTAATTGTGTCAGTGTGTTGATGTGTAGCAGTGTGTCAGAATGTTGATGTGTCGCAGTGTGTCAGAATGTTGATGTGTAGCTGTGTATTGTATCAGCGTGTTGATGTTTAGCAGTGTGTTAGCGTGTTGATGTGTAGCTGTGTATTGTATCAGCGTGTTGATGTATAGCAGTGTGTCAGCGTGTTGATGTGTAGCTGTGTGTCAGCGTGTTGATGTATAGCAGTGTGTCAGCGTGTTGATGTGTAGCAGTGTGTCAGCGTGTTGATGTGTAATTGTGTCAGTGTGTTGATGTGTAGCAGTGTGTCAGAATGTTGATGTGTCGCAGTGTGTCAGAATGTTGATGTGTAGCTGTGTATTGTATCAGCGTGTTGATGTTTAGCAGTGTGTTAGCGTGTTGATGTGTAGCTGTGTATTGTATCAGCGTGTTGATGTATAGCAGTGTGTCAGCGTGTTGATGTGTAGCTGTGTGTCAGCGTGTTGATGTATAGCAGTGTGTCAGCGTGTTGATGTGTAGCAGTGTGTCAGCGTGTTGATGTGTAGCAGTGTGTCAGCGTGTTGATGTGTAGCAGTGTGTCAGCGTGTTGATGTGTGTTGATATGTAGCAACGCATCGGCATGTTAATATGGAGCAGTGTGTCAATGTGTAGCAGTGTGTTGATGTGCTATACTGTGTCATTCCAGGCCATACTTCACATACTGGGTGACATTTGTCCAAGTTGTCGTCTTCATTGTGGCTATCGCTGTCTACGGCATCGCTCCGATTGGCATCTCAACAACGGAAGAGTCGGCTAATGTAAGTTGGTCTTTTTTGAGTGGGTAGTTGCTGGGTGCTTTGGTGTTGTTTGCTTCTTCTTTCCTTAGAAACATCTATCGTCCTTATCTCTCCTTTAAAAAAAATTTTTTTTTTTTTAGTATGTTACTGTCTCGTAACACGTCTAATCTTCGTCAATTATATGACCCATTTGTAATGTGAGTCTTGTAAAACTCTTACTTATAAAACAAAACAATGAGTTGATGCCTGTGTGGGTAGAGAATTGTGTTGGGATTAAAATCTTGTTTCATGAAACGATTTTTAAAAAGTTATTAAAAAAGTTATTTTGTTGGTGGTTGGCAGGTGCTCTGGTGTGGTTTGCTTCTTCTTTCCTATCTATCATCTATCGTCTTTATCTCCCCACCTTCTTTTTTGTGTTTGTTACTCCCTTGTAACACCTCTAATCTTCAGCGCTTGTATGACCTTATTGTGTTGCAAGTGCCGTAAAAATCTTACTAAAATAAACAACTGTTTAGTAACACATCTAATCTTCTGCAGTTATATGACCTTATTGTGATGCAAGTGCCGTAAAATCTTACTAAAATAAAGCAAAACAATAAGTTGATGCCTCTATGGCTAGAGAATAGTGTTTGGATTAAAATCTTGTGACACGATTTTTGTGAAAAGTTGTTTTCTTGATGTGTTTCCAGGTGAAGATGCCGAACTTGGCAATCCAGACTGAGACGCACGTAGAAAGAGACAATTTGTGGATCGGGCCTCGACAGGTGAGTGCATGTTGTTGTTATTCTTGTCGACAATGAAGTGGGCGCCGCAGCCCCTATCTCCCAACAGTACACACCAGAGGAGACTCCATCCTGCAGCCTCCATTTTCTCTGCAGAGGCCATTGACATGGCACTGGACTCCGTAGAAAATTCTCCTAACAAATCTTTCCTTATCCTTTCTGACTCTCTGTCTTGCATCACCTCACCCATTAAGTACACACTCTTACACCCAAAAATAGTTAGGCTACAACAGAAAATTCATACACAATCTGAAACAGGAAAAAATATCATGTTCGCATGGATACCCAGCCATGTGGGCATTCGAGGAAACGAGCAGGTAGACGACCTGGCAAAGAAAGCTTCATCCCTTCTGCTGGGATCAACGACAAACACTCTCCCACAGACTGACTTTAAAAATAAAGTAAAAAAGTACACCTCCAGTCTGTGGGGGAGCCACTGGAAAAAACAGGAAAATAACAAACTGTATAATATAAAACCCAAACTGGAACAGCGAAATCCTTCGGACCTCTCCAGAAGAGACGAAGTCATTTTTACTCGATTGCACATCGGACACACGGCCCTGACCCACAAATACCTCCTACAGGGAGATGAGAAGCCGTTCTGTGTCGGATGCGACACAGATTTTACCATTAGACACATTTTAACCGAATGTCTGGACTTTGGAGAGATCCGAAGGAAATATTATAAATGCAAGAAATTGCAAGACATTTTTTCCGTCGTTGGTCCCAGCAGAATTTTGAATTTTATGAAGGCCATTGGCCTTTATGGCAAATTATAAAGTGAAATTGTACTGTTTAAAATTTTTATGTAGTAAAATTGTTTTAGATTGAAAATATATATATATATTTACGCTGATTTTTAAACCTTTTAACATTTTAAAATCTAACTACTGACCCAAGCCAGCCGTACAGTAAATTGTTGTGAACAAAACTAACTTGTGTTTCGCGCGCTCATATGACCTTATGCAGTTGCGAGCGTCGTAAAACCCCTTACTAAACAATACTAAACAACAATGTCCTGCTCAGTTTAGAAGGTTCAAATCTGCGACTTTTCTCTTCAGCGGGATCTGATCCACCTGGGAGCCAAATACTCTCCGTGCATGAGAGTGGATGAGAATCTGAACACGGCCTTGAGCTACGACCGGCACGCCGAGAGGGGCTCGGCATGCTGTATCAGGAACGACGGCGGGGGCTGTCGGCAGACTGTCAAGAGTGATTGTAATGTGAGTTTTCACTTCTGACTGGTTCAGGGTATTCTAAATGATAAAGTACTTTTTTTTTCTTTTTTTTATAAAGAACTTTTTTTTTTTGTAAGGTACTTTTCAGTTTTTTCATAAAGTACTTTTCACATTTTTTATTTCATGAAGTACTTTTTTTTTCTTCATAAAGTGTTTTTTCTTTTTTGTTTCATAAAGTACTTTTTCTTTTTTTTTGGATAAAGTACGTTTTCTTTTTTTTCATAAAGTGCTTTTGTCTTATTTTTTTTATAAAGTACATTTTCTGTTTTGTCTTAAAGTACTTTGACTGTTTTTTTCATAAAGCTCTTTTTACTTTTTAAAAAATATTAAATTAAGTACTTTTACTTTTCTTTTCATAAAGTACTATTTTTTTCATAAAGTACTATTTATTTTTATTTTCTTAAAGTACTTTTTCTTTTTTTTTTCTCATAAAATACTAGTACTTTTCTAGTTAGAAATAAGAGATGGACTGAACGTAACGCTGGTTTCTTCCTCCAGGATATCCTGTCTCGGTGGGAGAAATGGACGCCCAGCAACCCCGGGCCCAACGGTCGTCTGTCCGGGACCGTGTGTGGGCAGGACCCCAGGTCTGTTGTGTTTGTGTTTGTGTTTGTGTTTGTGTATGTGTATGTGTTTGTGTATGTGTTTGTGTTTGTGTATGTGTATGTGTTTGTGTATGTGTATGTGTTTGTGTATGTGTATGTGTTTGTGTATGTGTATGTGTTTGTGTATGTGTATGTGTTTGTGTTGCGACATGTTGTGAAAGAAAAAGTGAAATGAATTACTCTTTTGTTGATCCCAGAAGGGCATTTTGTTTTACAATGGCTTACATATATACATACATACGTAAATACATACGTACATACATACATACATACATACATACATACAGACAGACATACATACAGACATACAGACAGACAGACAGACAGACAGACAGACAGACAGACAGACAGACAGATGCATGCACACACGCACGCACGCGCGCGCGCGCACACACACACACACA